AAATCTCAAAATTTCTTGGATCTGGGCTGAACTGTGTACAGAGCCATAGCTGACCCTTGAACACTATGACACTTTCTTAATGTGATGCTTTCTCTGAAGTATGATATTGTTATAATTTTGAAAAAAAATAATTAAAGAGCAGCAGACCGTAGAAGAAAGCTGTGAGCCATAAACTTCTGAGTTCTGACAGCTGATATAATGGTGACTTTTTTGTAACCTTAAGCCAACATTTTTTATTTTATGCCTTAGTTTCATGACAATAGTTGTTCAGTACCACTTATCAGCCCACTTACTTAGGCATGCAAGTTTGAAACTTTTGGCTTTAATCTCTGATCCTCTTGTTTACCATCTCTAAAGTGAGGTGATAGTAACATTTGCCTACCTCATAAGTGTGTTATAAGGATTAACTGTTTAGAAATTGAAAGTTAGAAAAGTATGTTTCTCCTATCAGTTTAGTATGCTAAAATGGCTATTTTTTGTACCAGCACCAGTGAGCTAACTCTGCTTTGGGTAGACTAGCAACAGCTAATGCTTGCTGCAGTCCCATCAGGCAAAGAATAAAGACCTGAGTTTTTAGTGCAGTCTGCAAAACTGAGCAACAATTTAATTTTTACATCAAAACCACCAAACCAATTATTCGTCAGTGGAGGGCATTTGTAAAGAAATTGGCTACCTATTCAGATTTCACTTACCTATCACACTAGCACAACTTGAATATGTATCAGTATCAGAATGAAGTTCACCCCTGGGCAGACAGCATATGCTGTTTAAGCCTCACTTTAATCTTTAAGAAATTTAATAGGATTTCTTCAGTACATTTGCACTAGGGGTTAATTTCACCTACACTGATTAGGAATGCAGAACTCATGAGTTTCAATGGGAAAACCAAATCAAAGATGTCAGCATGACCCTGGTACTATACAACAATTAGGTATGAGTACAAAGGCCTCGACCATGTCATTCACACTGGACTCAAAGCATGGAGGTCTACTGACTGGGACACACAAGAGAAAAAGAGTTCAGAAACAACATAAAACATTTTGGAAACTAAAGTGAGTTGTACAAGACAAACTTAAAACGTTTCAAAGTCTCTTTCTTCAGAGAGATATTGGTCAGAGTCTGTCCTTTTGTTAAGCAATGGGGAAAAAAGGGTTAGTTCTGTTGAACTGCATTTACTGCTAAGAACGGTGGCTGCTTTTCTTTATTTTTAACAAAGCAAACATGCAAAAGCAGGAAAAGAGATAAGACAGAAAAGGTAGGTGAAATAAAGATTTACTGAGGTCAGAAGGACACAAAGCAGCTAGTCACTTACGTGGGGGATATTGTGTCCTCTGCCAGGCCAGCTATCACATCTTTACTCTGAATCATAACTTACTTCCCAGGTTTGGAATGTCATTTCTGTTCAGTCTTCATCAGTCCAAAAGCCAGCTGGATCATCCTATTATGTAATACTGGTGCCATGTGGTCTCCACATCAGTTGAAAAGCAATAAAAGGAGAGGAGGAAGATAATGATATACAGAAAAACACACAGGAAGTAGGCTGACAAAGTAGCCTGTCACCTACAAAAGCTTGTGCATTTCTGAATGAGTTAGTTTCTAAGGTGCCATCCTACCCTTTCCTTTTTTTACACAATTCTAATCGTTTAACACTGGTTGCAGTGTGACTTCATGATAATCTCATTATCGCTCCATATAGACTGAAGCCTTTTGTATTAGACACTTGTTTAAGTAAAACAAAATAGTCATTTAAAAAAAGAGAAGGAAATAGCATGACCAGCTAAAAATATCTAGTATTCTTTGCTGAATTTAATGGGGAACAAAAATTGTATATTGAACTTTAAAATACTATTCTGCACTGTAACCTGTAGCTCTAATATGAATAATTACAGCACATCTAGTTTGTACGCATAGTATTTGTATTTCTTTTTACAGATATTTACTATTCACTCTTTGTAAAAGTATTTTATATATATTTTTAGTTCTCCTTAAAATCAGGAAATGACCAAAGAGATCTATCAAACCTGTTATTTAAAATCCAACAAAGTGAAAGGAAACAAAATGTGTGCGATATTTCAGTTTCAGATATCTAACTTTAATAATTTGTTTATCAAGTCACACAAGGCTGTATCCTAACCAAATACTAAATTTTAAATGAACAAAATGTAAACAATCTGAGCCATTTGCAAAGCCTGCAATAGTTTATGCACCACTTATTTCTGTAAAAAGAAACTGAGAATATAGTAGTCACGTAAGGAACCAACTTTTTATGTTTTATGTAATCGTGTAAGTCATAGATCTAATCATATTAAAAATAATTATTAAGTACCTGGAATTCAGTCTGTCTGCAATACATTTTTTGTGTAAAAAATGTGATTTACTGTATATGTCTGTTCGTGGTGTACCATGTTACATGACAAATTGTAACGGTAACATTTTCTTATGTTCTATCTTTCAGATAACCTTGTATTCCTTTGCAATAAAGAATCGTGTCTAAAATCTGCTTGCTTGTTCTAGTGTCTTCTGAAACCAGGAGTTTAATTATCAGGAAAAAAAATGTTCCTACAGCTTAGGTGATATTTGGAAAAAATGAAGTGGACCGTACCTAGGAATCTGTTTATTTATGCCTGCTTTTTTCCTTAGTTTCACTATTTTGCCATTCTGAAACAAACTATAATCACAGTTTTCAAAAATGAAAAGGGATTTTGGAAACTTCAATTTCGGGACCTAAATTAGAACATCTTAAAAAGCCTTGCTTTTTGGGGGGAAAAAACATTTCCTCCTATGTATTTCCAGAAGTCTCATCAAGGATCCTTTAACTTACTGAGAATTGATGAAGGGTACAGTGGTACCCAAAAGCTTGTCTATGTCCTTTCCAACTAGACTGTCCAATATAAGATAACACCCATAAAAAAGGTTTGCTGCTTGCATGTTTTCCAGGACCACAACACTACCATAGCCTATCAGTTATCATTTCAAAGCCAAGTCACTTTTGTAGTGATCAAAGTTTCCTACCAATTGATGGCTGTTTGTTGTTCTCTGTGGAATGAGATTGGTGATCTCATTCAGGTAGAAGACAGGGTAGATTTGCACCTTATAGACTAACCAGATATATACAACACAAGCTCACTTCATCAGAGACTCTGAAAGGAGGTGCAGAAAGAGTATAAGGAGAGAGAAATTAGAATAAAAGGGATAGAGGGAAGGAGAGAGGGAGAGAGAGCGGGGAGGGGGCAGCGCTGGAAGAAACGAACAAACAAGTTTTAAACCCATAGGAACAAGGAGTCACCCAAGCTAATCCAGTTAATGGGATAAGAATCTGTAGTTCCCATTTAAACCAAACTTTATAACACTGTTTCTCAATTTTTTTTGTACCAGGACCCATTTGTAAACATCGACCCACTGCGCCCCCACCCAAGCTCCCAGAGTGTGTGGGGTAGGGGATGGGTGTGTGTGGGAAATGGATGGCCCAAGCAACCCCTTGCAGGCTGGAAATCTGCCAGCCTGCCTGGAAAATGCCTTGATTTTCCACATTTTTCTCCTTTAACGGAGAATCCATTTTTAGAGATTGTTGATCCATTTTTATTAGTTTATTCCTGACCCTTTCATGTATTCTTGCGACCCCCTTTTGGGTCATGACCCACAGGTTGAGAAACACTGATTTATAGATGGATGATTTCTTGTTCTGTGATTTTCTGTTCAAATCTGTGCGCACCCCCCCACCCCCCCCCACACACTTGTCTTTTGCATTCTAGTTTCTCTCTCCTCCTCTGCTTTCTGCTGCTCCTCTCACCGCATCAGATGAAACCAGCTTCAGCTCAGAAAAGCTTGTGCTCTCTAGGGGCAAGCAAGACCAGGGGGCATCTGAACCCCAAGGCCTCTGGGCTCACACTAGGATGCCTGTCATCGATGTGGAAGCATCTGAAGCCCCAGGCTGGAGAGTCGAGGAGGTAGGATACTTGGCAGCAGTAGCGCCATGCAGACTCGAAAAATTGAGCCGTGCTCAGTAGGTAGAATTGGGAACTCTTTTGGCCGATTCGGCACAAAATTTAAAAAAAAGGGAACGGGGGGAGAGCTTGTGCTCACTCACTCTGTATGAACATATATTTACAGCTTGTTTCTTCCAGTACTGTCCTTCCCCTCTCTTTCC